GGAAAAAGGGTAAAGAGCGGCTCGAGGCCAAACCGTGCTGGAAAAAGCCGAGGGTAGTAAGTAACGAACTTGAAATCCCTAGGGTGGAAACCCGATACTAGTACATCATGGGTCAAGTAGCCACTCCATATATCGACCAGTTCTAATTGTAACCCGGGGGTTGAGGCGGGAAATCTTGACTTGAACCGGATCGGTCCCCTAAGTTGGTCACTTACTCGCTCAAAATTTACGATGAACGGGGCTAGGGTTGAATCGAAAACAAATCTGGTTAACAAAAATTGGAGGTATTTACAATATGTGGCTTCGTCGGATTTATAGCGAGGGTGACGGGAGGATAATCGAGCCCCTTCTATATTTACACTCGGGGGACGAGTAGAATATCGAGGAAGGACACTCTCAAAAATGGATGTTAACCATAGGCTGTATGAACCAAACAGGGCCGGAAAAATTCCCCGATGCCTTAGGAGTACTTAAGATTTCGACGACCTCGTCGAAAGCGGTATATACATGTGCTAACAAAAGCTTGGCCAAACATAGGCGAGGTTGACCTAAGTGAAGGAGATACGCAAGGTTGAAGAGATGGGGGAAATTTGGATCGATCGGGGCAAAACACATGGGTGCACAGACCGGTACACCAAAAACGCTATATGTTCTTCATCGGTAACATCTATTGAGGGGTCATCAACGAAGTGTTTCTCAATAAAATGCCCGTAGGCCTTCGATTCCCAATCGATTCTAGACTTCAACGAAGTATCCGAGGGACATGCACCCTGAAAGTATCTTTCCCCTATAGGTTTTAACCCAGTGATGGCTGCGACATCGAGAAGAGTAGGTGAGAGGGGGCCGCAAGGTAATTCCAACGCATGTATCTCTTTATTCCATAAGTGCACGGCAGCCAGAAACATAGCCATGTCTAGGTAAGATAAGTCACATTGAGACAAATGTAGAAAATCAAAAATCCCCACGTTCCTCCAATGGTTCCCGAATTTAGCCTTAACCCTATCAAACCATCTAGTGAACAAAGATTTTTTGGAGGGAGGTTCTGTCCTATACACCTTGGAAACAAAGTTCAAAAAATCGATCCTAACTTCGGGTTGATGAACGAGAGCAGGGCTGCTTGAGAGGGTGAGGGGAGAAACGGTTCCACTCCCAGAAAGAATGGGGCCCCAAAACCAAAACCAACCCCACCAACAGTGTAAGGAACTAATACCTGAGTTTCAGCGATCTTTTTGGAGGCCTCCTCCATTAGAGGCAAAGGAGCAAACTGCTGGTTGTTAATCTCCAGCAAGGTAGCAGTGGATGAGGTAAGAGGTGGAGCCGAGAAATCAGATGACTTAGATGAAGAGGCCATTATAGCAAGATTAGAGAAGTAATAAGGAAGAGGTTGACAGGTAAGGTAACAGGGACGAAGACAGGAGCTCAGAGAAGAAGACAAGAATGCAAAAGAAGATAAAGGTTCGCGTAAAGCCAAAGTGAAGATAGGTTGAGAGGTTAAGGGGAAATCGTATAGGGAGATAGAACGACGGAGGTGAAAGGTAATAAATGCAGCGTACTGTGAAAGCAGCAGACTGATATGATGGCGACGTAAAGTGGAAAAGAAACCTAAAACCCTTTTTTACCCTAGAACCCCAAAAACCCTAAACCCTAAATCCTGTGGGCTTTCAAACACTAAGGCGGGAATATTGAAAGAATATAAAACAGAAATCATTTATATTCTTCCAAGGGGGCATTTTGTTAGTGGCAAATCGAGAAAAGCGATCGAAATCGAAGGGAAGAAATATGACTCGATAAGATAAACAAAAGTTCATTCGATGTCTAATTAGAAATACGTAGCATATAGCATCGAGAAACACAATCGAGAATCGAATGAATTATAATCAAATGACTGTTGTCGAATAAAAACTAAGTCATATAAGATCAGGATTAAAAAGGAATCGTGAGCAATTCGAAGTTCTCGAAAAATATAGAATCGAGAGTAAAGAAAGCCAATGGGGACATCGAGACTTTGGCCAAATTGTGAAGGGAAGTAAGTCGAATGCACGTATAGAGAGCAGTTTTGAAATCATGGGTAAAAGTCGGAGATCGTGAGAACGTGGGAAACTATAGAAGATAAACTGCCATACGCACGTAGAACGTGGTAGCAGTCGCGTTAACTGCTCTCGGAAAGCTTGAAGGATGCCCTATAAATAGAGCAAAGGAGAAAGGAACAAGGGAGCAGAAATTGGCAGAGACAACAGAAACGCTAGTGAAAAGTCTACCGGAGAAACGACGAACACCATGAAGCTTCTGGCAATCTGGATTTCCTTGCTCACCGAGTACATTTACCGCTTTCTGTATTTTCCTTGGTAATTTACTTTGATGCAACTTAAATTCAGCAGTTTTATGTTTCTGTATTTCGATTCCTTGTCCATTTCAATTCAATGAAAATTTGAGTTTCTGCATTTAGATTTCCTGTTATTTAACATTCTGCAAATCTCAATTTCCTGTCATTTACTTTTCTTGCAATCTCGATTTCTTGTCATTTATATTTGTGTTGTTTTCGATTCCTCGCTATTTACAATTAATGCAAGTTTGGGGTTCTCGCATTTTACATTTCCTCGCAATTTAATATTCTGTTTTTCTATTCGATAGTCTAAATGTTTTCGATACTTTAAATACAAAATACCAAAAACAGCATTTTCGATATCCTGGAGTTTTCGATTCTCATACACGTTTTCGATTGAAAATCAAATTGCTAGTCTAAGTAAAAAGAGCTTACGTGGTAGAATTTTGATTAGGACCAAAACACCCTTAGAATCGAAATCGATCGAAATTCCACCAGAAACACATACCAAATAATAGGCTCCTTTGATATAATAAAAATAGATTATTATGGTTATGTTTGGAGACGAAAAAAAAAAATCAAACGTAGAATTAAGTTTTCGAATAATAATTTTTTATATTAAAAATAAAATAGGAAAAAATAACACCAATACCTTTATAAAAAACAAAAAACATATTTTATTTGTTTTCTTTCGTTTATTATTGAGTTTCAAATAACTTTTATTTTTCCTAGTGACATTCTATTTCTAACCATCTCCTTATCGTTTTTTTTTTATGTTTTAAACATATTAAATGTGTTTTTTAAATAAAACATTTATAAGATACAATGTCTAAATTAATATATATTCTATTTAATAAATTTTTATCCCTGGTAAATTTAGTAGTTTTGTATCTTGTTCTCAATCAATTTTATTGGTATTTAATTAAAAAAAAAATCATATTTAGGGAGCTTCTTTCAAAATAATTGTCATATAATTTTTTTACTATCTATTTGATGCAAGGTGGGGATTAACGAGGCTCGACAGATCGATATAACTAGATAAGTCATTATTTTATTAATTCATTAAATTAAAAAATAATAATAACTACAACAAAAATGTAAATAACATATCATGGTAAAAAACAAAAAATAAATATAAAAGTTTTATTCAATCGTATCATTACAACAACAAAAAAAATCAATAACATTTTTAATAGGATAAAAAGACAAAAATCAAATTAAATTAAAAATTGTCTTGGAGTAGGAGCGTGTTATTTCTAAATCCAAGTTCTAAACCATTCAGGACATAATATAGAATATTTTTGGACCATCAAGAGAATTAATTAGTATATTTTATATTTAAGTTTTCATGTTGTGTAAATTTAAATTTCCGAGTAATTAATTAATAGGATTATAAAACAAAAAATCTTGCATTTATCGTCTTCAGATAATTTTTAGGCAAATGACAAAAACTGAAGGACCTTTCTACATGGTGACCAAACCTATTCAAGAAAAAAAAACGTCATCTATTTCTTTTTATTCACGAAGATAAAATTATAAAACAAATTAAAATAGTAATATTAAAAAAATATATATATATATATATATATATATATATATATATATATATAAATATTAAAACATGTTATACCTTATTTAAATATATCTTTGTTATTTTAAAAAAATAATATAGTTAAGCCTATGCGATTAATGAAGAAACTTTTATAACTTTTCATAGGAACTTCAAATTCAAATAATTATCATCAAATTCCTAAAAAAACTTTATTTTAGATTTAAAACCTAATTTTTTCCAACTATTTGTATATATTTTTATAGTTTATTAGTGATAATTGTTTGTGAGTAGTATTTTTGTTTAGGATTCCCGAAAAAAAACATTAAAAATAAAAACTATATAATATCCATTGTTATATTCAGTTTATAAAAATAAATACACATAAATAACAAACACATCTAATAATCACTGGAAACAGAGTTGACAGTGGGAGGTGAGAGAAGGATTTAAAAGAAAAGGGAGGAGATATAAAGAGAAAAGGTAGAATAGAAAAAGAAATTGTGGATAGTGTTGAAGAGGAAAAAGAGGGGTGTGAATAGTTGGTCGTAGCAGGCCTAAAGTTGTTTTGGACTTATGCTACGTTTGCAATTTAAAGGTTCTTGCCATCTGGCCCAAGACGGAGACAAGTTCATTTTTACTCAATTTTGATAACTAAACCTTTGAGCTTCCTCTTATCCCACATCGATTCCCAAAGCATGGCATAGCTAATCCTCAACTGCAAGGCCTTTCCTTTCCTTTCAATTCTCTCTATTGTTCCCAAGGTTATGTCAGCCACCACGCCTTTGGAAATAGAGAGAAAAATCAATTCTAATCTTAATCACTCCCACATTTTCACCAAATCCAAAGGAAACATGATTGTTTTCAGCCGCCACTCACCATGTTTTCAGAGATGTTTTGCACCAAAAATAAGACAATATGCAACTCTCTTTATTCCCTTTCCCAACTATTTTCTTTGACTTTATCTCTCTATAAATGAATGGTAGCTGCAGAAGCTAGCCATGCAAATTATTCTAGAGTCATAGTAGTAATCACTGCTAGCAACAGTAGTATATATATTCCATATGTCTTCTCTTTCTCAAGGTCATTTATCCTTGTGAACCAGAACAAAGACAGAAGAAGGAAAAGATGGAGAGTCGCAATGGTGTAAGTAGAGGACCAAGTGGAGCTCATGCAGTTTCGCGGTGGAGCCCTACGAAAGAGCAAACAGCAATGTTGGAGAACCTTTACAAACAGGGAATAAGGACTCCCAATACTGAGCAGATACAAGAGATTACCTCTAGACTCAGGGCTTATGGTCACATCCAGGGAAAGAATGTATTTTACTGGTTTCAGAATCACAAAGCACGCCAAAGACAGAAGCTGAAGCAGAAACAACAAAACATTTCATACTCTAATAACTTTCTTCTTGCGTCGCACCCCATTTGCCAAAATGGTCGGTTATCTCATATAATTTTTTATTCATGTTTTTATTGCCGTAAGTTTTTACATATTATACTGTTCTATCGCCTATTTGATTGAAATAAATTTACATGCATGCATCTTCATTGTGGATGATCACGTGGCTGTTCATATATATCAACGACACTTGTATTCACTCGTATATGCATGCATTTAACCAAACTTAAAAATCACCTAAAAGTGTCCATTTTCTTTAGTTTGTTCACCTTTCACTTGCATGAAGAATCTAAAATCAAAGATTTCTTTTATTGTTTTCAGTTGCCTGCGCCCCGTATTGTTCGCAACACAGTGGAATCAGCTTTTATTCTCAACAAGCAAAGATTTTTGCAGCTGGAGGAAATGGGTCAAGAATTGAGACAGCTATGCCCTTTGGGATGCCGAAACAATTGCAACAACCGGATTATAACTACACCATCAGAAGCAGCAAAACCTTAACTCTCTTTCCTCTTCATCCAACAGGCATTTTGGAAGAAAAAACTGCTAATCAAGTGTCTCCATCACATTCTTCAATTTCTGTCGATGTCACTGATACATCTTATGGTTCTCTTGGTGTTGATAAATATGGCCATCCTTAAACCCAACCTTTCTTGGAATTTTTTACTTCCGAACAAGGGTCTGGAAATGAATCATTCTCATTCCAAAACAATTAACGTAGTGCTCCTTTCATTGGACGTTATTGATCTCTGAAATAAGTTTTGTCTTGGATATTTTGTTTGTTGTAGCAACAACCGTGTGTAAACAGATTATGTTCTATTCACCAAAAGAATGGTTGACACGTTTGAAAAAATAAATATTATCTTTGGCTTTATTCTAGACGTTGAATTTGCATGTTTCATTTTTTTTTCCTGTCACAAAATTGCAGGTGTCCAAGTTACTTCCGTTTTAAAATCAATGTGATTAAATTTTTTTATATAATTAATCTGGAATGAAGTGATACCTCTATTTTTGGAAATTTACTTTTTCATTTTAATTAAAAATATTAATTTTGAAGGTGTTTCTGGTTGAATTTCGATCGATTTCGATCCTAAGGGTGTTTTGGTCCTAATCAAAATTCTACCACGTAAGTTCTTTTACTTAGGCTATGCAATTCGATTTTCAATCGAAAACATGTATGAGAATCGAAAATCACAAGATATCGAAAAAACTATTTTTGGTATTTTGTATTTAAAGTACTGAAAGCAGTAAAACTATCGAATGGAAAAAACAAAATGTCAAATTGCGAGGAAATGTAAAGTACGAGAACCCCAAGTTTGCAAGAATTGTAAATGACAAGGAATCGGAAATGACAAAAATGTAAATGGCAAGAAGTTAAGTTTGCATGAAAACTAAATGACAGGAAATCGAAATGTGCAGGGAATGTAAATGTCAATAAATCAAGATTTGCAGAATGTGAAACGACAAGGAAGCTTAAATGCAGAAACTTAAACTTTCATTGAATTGAAATGACTATGAATCGAAAGTACAGAAACATGAAACACTGAACTCAAATTGCAATTAACGTAAATTACCAAGGAAAATACAGAAAACGGTAAATGAACTCGGTGAGCATGGAAATCCAGATTGCCAGAAGCTTCATGGTGTTCGTCATTCTCCGGTAGACTTTCTCACTACTGATTCTGTTTTCTGCCAATTTCTGCCCCCTCTCCTCCTTCCTTCTTTTCTCTATTTATAGGGCCTCCTTCAAGCCTTCCAAGAACAGTTAATAAGACTGCTACCACGTTCTTTCGTGCATGACGGTTTCTTTTTCTACAGTTTCCCACGTTCTCACGATCCTCGACTCCTTCCATGTTTCGAAACTGCTCTCTATACGTGCGTTTGACTTATTCTTCTTTTCATGGTTTGGCAGAATCTCGATGTCCACATTGGCTTTCTTCACTCTCGATTTTGTATTTTCGAGAACTTCAATTTGCTTATGATTCCTTTTTGACCTTGGTCTCATATGACTTAGTTTTTTATTCGATAACAAGCCTTTAGTTATCATTTACTCGATTCTCAATTGTACTTCTCGATGCTACGTACTTCTAATCAGACATCAATTTTGTTTATCTTACCGAGTCACATTTCTTTCCTTCATTTTTGATCGCTTTTCTCGATTTCACAATAACAAAATGCCCCCTTGAAAGAATATGAATGATTTCAGTTTATATTCTTTCAATATTCCCGCCTTAATGTTTGGAAGCCTATGGAACTTAGGGTTTAGGCTTTTTGGGGTTCTAGGGTTAAAAGGGTTTTAGGTTTTCCTTTCCGTTTCACGTTGCCATCATGTCAGTCTGTTGCTTTTGCAGTACACTACATTTATTACCTTTCGCGTCTGTCGTTCCAGCTCCCTAGGCGATTTTTTCCTTAATCTCTCCCTTGGTTTTTACTTTGGTTTTTTACACGAACTTTTACCCTCTGCTTGCACCTTCATCGTCTTCCTTGAGCTGTTGTCTTCCTCCTTGCTACCTCATTCGTTAACCCTTCGCTTTCTGTTTTCCTAAGCTCGCTGAAATGGTAACTTCATCCAAGTCGTCCGATTTCTCAGCTCCACCTCTTCCTTCATCCGCTTCTAACTTGCTGGAGATCAACAACCAGAAGTTTGCTCCACTGCCTCTGATGGAAGAAGCTTCCCAAAAAATTGCTGAAACGCAGGTACTCGTTCCTTACACTGTTGAAGGTGTTAGTTTTGCTTTTGGGGGTCCTGTTCTATTTGGTAGTGGAACTATTTCTCCTCTCACCCTTTCAAACAGCCCAGCTCTTGTACACCAGCCTGAAGTTAGGATCGATTTTCTGAATCTTGTCTCTAGGGTGTATCGGATAGGCCCTCCTTCCAAAAAACCTTTGTTCATTAGATGGTTTGATCGGGTCAAAGCTAAGTTTGGGAACCATTGGAGAAATGTGGGGATTTTCGATTTTTTGCACCTGTCTCAATGTGACTTATCTTATTTAGACATGGCTATGTTTTTGGCTGCCATACATTTATGGAATAAGGAAATACATGCCCTGGAATTACCTTGCGGTCCTCTCTCCCCTGCTCTTTTCGACGTTGCAGCCATCACTGGATTAAAACCTACAGGAGAGAGATACTTTCAGGGCGCATGTCCTTCGGATAATTCTCTGAAGTCTAAAATTGATTGGGAATCGAAGGTCTATGGTCATTTCCTTGAGAAGCATTTTATCGATGACCCTTCGATAGCTGTTACCGATGAAGAGCACGTGGCATTTTTGGTGTATTGGCTGTGCACCCATGTTTTTTGCCCTCGATCGATCCAAATCTCCCCTCATCTGTTCAACCTTGCATATCTCCTTCACCTAGGCCAACCTAGCCTATGTTTAGCCAAATTTTTGCTAGCGCATGTGTATAATGCTTTCGACGAAGCTGTCGAAATTTTGAGTACTCCTAAGGCATCAGGGAATTTTTCTGGCCCTGTTTGGTTTATACAGTTATGGTTAACTTCGATTTTTGAGAGCATCCTTCCCCCAACTTCTACCATCCCCCCAAGTGTAAATATAGAAGGGGCCCGATTATCCTCTCGCCATCCTCGCCATAAGCCTGATGAGGCTACTTATTGTAGATACCTTCACTTTTTGTTAACTAGATTCACTTTCGATTCAACCTTAGCTCCTTTTACTGTAAATCTTGGACGACTAAGTGACCAACTTAGGGGGCCAATTTGGTTTAAGTCAAAATTTCCTGCCTCAACTCCTGGGTTGCAATTAGAGTTGGTCGATATATGGAGTAGCTATTTAACTCAAGATGTACTAATATCGGGCTTCCAATCCAAAGATTTCAAGTTCATTACTTACTACCCTCAACTTTTTTCAAGACAGTTTGGTCTGAGCCAATCTTTACCCTTTTTTCCTTTAGATACCATCCCTAAATCCAAGTTGACTGAATCGACCATCGGCCGGGAGCTTGCCAAGTTTTTGCCAAGAACCTCGATGCATCTTTACCCATATGTGTTTGAATCAAATTATTTATCGACTGTGGAATTTTCTCAATGGTGGACCACTTGGTTCTCGAAAAATCATGCTGCTTTTGACGAGGTTCGACAGAAACTGACTGCTCATCCTTCTCTTGTGTTGCAGGACAAGTCGAAAGGGAAGAAAGGTACACACTTCCACTGTCTCCAAATATCTCGATTCGAGAATTTTTATCAAATATGTTATACTCCACTAAAACTAGAATCGACCTTTTATGACGTTGTCATTTCCTTATCCCATAAAACAGATACTAATAGATCGAACCATAAAATAATTAATCCCTTAGGAAAAACCCCTTTTGAAATGTATTGTCCCGATCGCCTTCCCACTTTTCCTACAACACCTTTTGGACTCGCCAAACCTTTAACTCATCCCAAATGGGTTCGAGAATTGAGAACCCTTAAAGAAACACTTCGCCCAAAACCCAAAAACAAAGACATTTCTGTATCGAAATTGTTTTACTTTCCTTACCTTAACCTCTCCGAAGACCTCCTGCCTCCTTGGCTAGTACATATTGATCGAGTCAAAATTTTGACTCCATCACCTTTTGGTGAGGTTTTACTGTCTTTTCATATTTTTAATTCTGTATGTTAGAAACTAACTAACTTCATTTCTCGACAGTTTCAAAATCTATTAAGGTAGTCGCTTTCGAAAAGGCGCAAGAGAAGGAAAAAGAAAAGGACTGGGAGTCCTCCGATGAGTCGGACCCCTCGGCTTTAGTCCGAAAGCGCAAACGATCGGCCACTATCTCCACATCTTCGAAGAGATCGAAGGTTCTTTTCGTTTTCTTACTATTTTTCATCCATTTCTGTTTATGATTGGTTCACTTAGGATTCTTATACCTATTTTTTTTTTTTCGATTTTCGCTATGCAGAAACAAAAATCAAGGAGTCCTCGATCGGTCCAACCACCTACCCTCGATCCATTGTCGACGGACTCCAACACAGTCCCTTCCACGGGCAAAACCACTTCCACTACTCATTCGAGTCATGTATGTTGTTTTCTGTAAAAATTTATATATTGATTTTGATGAAATTTATCACACGAATTTGAAATTCGACATTTCTAGGATCGTCCATCGGCGACCTTATCGACCAACGTCGATTTTGTACCTCCCTCCCCAACACCTGTTCTCGAGGTACCACTTTTAAACATCTCTATGTACCTTTTGACTTGTACATATTCCCTTTTCTAATTCTCTGTTTCGATTTACAGCAATCTGAGGCTGTACAAAGTCCTCCCCTTGCCTCGACACCACTTGCTCTACCTCCCCCTGGTATTTTTCCCTTTTTTCTTCACTATTCGATTTTTTCAGTTCAATTTGCTTTTTATAAGTTTTCAACTCACCTGATTTGTTTTCTTTGCAGTAAATATCTCTGTCGTCCACGTCCAGGATTCTCCATCTCCCACCACTACGGAGCAAATGGGTTCCCATCCATTCTCGATGCCTGTGGTCGAGCCACTCTCGCCAACGAGTGCCCATGCTCGACGAGCCCACTACCGACGAACGTGCCGGAGTATCGAGCTGCCATCGAGGAAGATCCTTTCGCGATCCTCGATATTCTGGTATCGAGTGGCGCCACTTCCTCAAGCCATTTTTCCCAACCACCTG